ATACAAGGGCAGGAGAAGGCAGCGGGCACATGCTGAGCAGCATTGGTACAGCAGGGCACAGTGCCCGTGGTGTGGAGTAAAGGCAACACTCTGAGGGGCAGTGGCAGCCGCTGTGTCACCTGCAGTCCAGCGAGCCTGTCTCATGGACTCTTCCAGAACTGCCACGAGTTGGAGAAGATGGATCTGGAGGAGTGCCTCCTGGTGAGTGAGTCCCGGCCTGGGGGTCCTGGCACAGCTGGGTGGCACCTGACTAGCCGGCCTCAGGTGGTGGGCCTGGGGACCCAGAAGACCCTGGCCATGGGATGTATACACTTTTGGCTGTTCCTGGTCAGCAGGGAAAACTACATCAAAGAGATGCAGCATAGGTTGTCTGTTATATCATACAACAAAGTAGTGATAAATAGACTCCGTTTATGTGTGGTGAAGGTTGGGGGGAGAATATAGACACCCAGGGATAAGCTGACTCCAGAGAAGGGAATCCTGGGGGTTCCTCTTTTACCAGTTTGTCCCCTGTAGGCCCCAGAGGAGGGGACAAAGTGGTGGGATTCTTGCTGGCTGCCCCTGGGCCCAGTGGGAGGGGCAGGGGAGCGAGGTGCAGGCCCAGCGAGGGAGCCAGCCACCCTGATGATGCGACTGTCCACAGATCACCGACAGCACGCTCGTCCAGCTCTCCGTCCACTGCCCTAAGCTGCAGGCGCTGGTGAGTGAGCTTCATGTGCGGCTCTGGGGGCCCCCGGTTCTTGGGCTCGCTCGTCCGTAAGGGTGCCACTGTCCTGGGAACCCCTGTCCTCGTCCCTCGCGTGCACGTTCGTCTGCTGAGGCGGTGTGAAGGTGGGCACGGTCACCCAGGCCAGGCATGTCCACTAGCACTTCCTGTTGGCTTCTGCACGGTGGGGAGAGGGAGGGTGACATACTGAAGCTCCCACAATGCCCGATTAAGTGCCCCTCACGTCTTGGGCACCAGGGGATGTCCTGCTGTAGGCCCATGCGCCCATGGCATGTAAGAATCTGTCTCTTTCTGTCTCAGCTGGCATGTGGTAGGAGCTGGTGCCCAGCTGCCTAGGGACCTCAGCTCCTGTGGCCTCCCTACACCCAGGCCCTGCTGCCTGGACTGGGCCCCAGATGGTCCCAACACCAGCTTTCCCTCCTCTGGCTTGTAGAATTCTGTAAGCCCCACTGGGCCACCAGCTGCCCTGCTGGCCCCCTCTCCCCTTGGGCACAGGCGTGGTGGGAGCTTGCCCCCCCGCCCCCGCTGGGACTCTGGCCAGAGTTGTGGTGGGATTGTGGACAGACCTGCTCCCCACATACTCACCAGCAGTTGGGGAGATGGAGCAGGGAAGTGCTGTAGCTGGCACACTCCCGGGTCATGCCACAGTTAGGGGCTAGGGCCCACCCACACCACCCTCAACCCGCAAACCCCGAAGGCGTGTCAGCAGAGACGAGCTCTGTCCTGACAGATTCCAGAATGAAGTGGAGAGCTAGCAGCCCCTGTCAGCCCCGCCTGGAGCCGAGGACCAGGAAGGCTGTGTGTGTGGGGTGCAGCCAGCCCCCCAGCCGACGCCCCTCTTCTCTGCAGGCCCTAAAAGGAGCAGCCCAGGCTGCGCTCTGGGGAGACTCATGTTCTCACGGCAGGGCCAGGGGTTGGTGACCATGTCTGCTTGGTCCCAGATAAGCAACATAATTTCTCAGTTCCTCTGCTTTCAAATGAAGAAGTTAGCACGCACTATCTCCAGGCTGCCTGTGAATGTCGATATATACAAAGATGAGCAATTTATAAATATGTGCTTTTTTTATGGTTACATCATCATTAAGCAGAGTCTACTCCAATTTGAAACAATCTTTTGCACAAGTATACAAAGTCTTCTTTAGTCCTAAAAGCTAAAAAGCCTGTGAACAGCAAGGATTCCACACCAACTTCCATGGGCACTCTCCTGTAAGCAGGTTGGTGAGCAAGGAGCTATACAGCTGATGTCAAGGCAGAACTCGGGGTGTTCTTCAGGGTCTGAGGCTTCCCCCCTCCCAGCCTCCGTCTGCCCTGTCCTCTTTCCCATAGCCAGTGGCCATTTCAGATTCTCTGTCACCTCGTGGACGTAGCGCCCACTCCGCCACTCACCCGCTCCTCTGTCCACCAGAAGTTGTCAGGTCCGGATCAGACAGCATGTGCTCGCCCCACTTTACCCTGGCCTCCCCCTGCTCGCCGCTGCATCCATTCCTGCATCCGCGTGGCGGTGGTTTTTCTTTCAGCTCCTTACTGAAGCAAATGCACACGCAGGAAGGAGCCGCTGTGGGTGTTGTGGGTGTGTTTGCATGAGCTGGGCACCCTAGGTCATTCCTCCAATGACCCTATGGAATACTTCCCTTCTCCCTTGCAGTCACTAGCCTGCCAAGAACAAGGACTCCCAGGAGCACCTACTGGTCCTTGCACCAAGCAGTCAGCACACGTACCCTCGTGTTTGGTGTCATTGCTCTGCCACACATGGCTCATCCTCTTGGCTTTGTAAGACGGGTCCGCTCAAGAGATTGAACCCACTGGTGGACACGTGGGTCATTCTAGTTTGGAGCTAGCAGAGCCAGTGTTCTCGTTACCGTGCACGGGCCAGCTTCCTGGGGCTCTGAGCCACAGCGGGAGGGGATCCCACAAACCTCTGTTCTTGCCTCTCCCTGCTCCAGAGCCTGTCGCACTGTGAGCTCATCACGGATGACGGGATCCTGCACCTGAGCAACAGCGCCTGCGGCCATGAGTGCCTGCGCGTCCTGGAGCTGGACAACTGCCTGCTCATCACGGACGCGGCGCTGGAGCACCTGGAGCACTGCCACGGCCTGGAGCGCCTCGAGCTCTACGACTGCCAGCAGGTCACCCGCGCGGGCATCAAGCGGATGCGGGTAGGCACGGGACAAGGGAGTAGGTGACGTGAGGGCGAGGGTTCGTCACCCAGCAAGAGTTAACATGTTCTCTGCTCTCCCTGAAGCCAGTCATGCCATCCACTCTGCCAGTAAAGGCGGCACCCTAGGCTTCCCCCAAGATTCCTTGCTCAGTCCCTGCTCTTACACAGCCAAGGCGACCCCAGCGAAGCACAGAGGCGGCAGAACGGAGTCTGGCCTCCTGGTTGGGATTTAGTTGGCTTTCCCCGTAGGGGTCACCTGCACCTTTTCTTCATCAGCCCCGAGTTTATAAACAACTGGGCATTCACATCCCAAAGCAACTGTCCAGGGTGCTGCTGTCACAGCACTGCTCACTACCCTTGTGCAAAATTGTATCAGCTTGGTGGGGGAGGGAGGGAGCTGTCATTTGGGTTGGTTTTTCCCATTAAAGTGAAGTAGATGCTTCCAGCTGTCCTAGGATTCTAACCACAGCCCTGAGGATACCCGGGTGAGGGCCATGCCACTCTCCTTTCTGCACGCAGGCTCAGCTCCCGCACGTCAAAGTGCATGCCTACTTTGCCCCCGTCACCCCACCGACAGCAGTGGCCGGCAGTGGCCAGCGCTTGTGCAGATGCTGTGTCATCCTCTGACAGCGGCTGCCCTCCTCACCTGTCTCGTGGCTCTCCAGCGCAGAAGGCACCTGCAGGTGGAGACCTGAGTGCGGACTGCAGCGGCCCTGGTGACGGCGCCCGTCTTCATTTCCCTCCGATGCCATCCGCTGGGAGCCTGGCAGTCTCCTGGATCTCCTAGTAAGGTGGGTACCTCTGAAAGTCCTACCCTTGGCGCTTCCAGCATTCCTCAGACCATCAGTATTGGCACAGAAAGAGCAGGAAAACTCAGCAGTTGCTGTTGCACCTTATGGTTCAGCTGGGGGCCCATTGTGAGTAGCAAGACTTGTCCATGTGGAAGATGAAGGAGGAGCTAGCTGCATCCAGGGGCACGGCACTGCCCACTCCCAGTGCCCGAGTTCTGTGTGTCAGACTCCACTCGGAAGGTGTGCTGACAGGTTTCCATGAGACACCAAAGAAACAAGGACTCCACCTGGATGGAACAGGCTCTCCAGCCTTTGGCTGCTGTCTCTTTGGAGCCCTGCAAGGGCCCAAAGCAGCAACCCAGTGTGTGACGCTTGATGCACACTTCTAAACTCTAGAACACACAGCACAGAGTGCGTTTTGGTTCAACGGGGGAAAACAAACGAATTATGTTTAAATTCAAAGAAAATTTGGCTGACCAAACAAAAGCAGATTTATCTACAGTATCAATTAAAATAATGAGTGGATGCCTATAGAGTGGGTGTGAATTTCTTTTCCAAGTTTATTTTAAAATCTTAGAAATGAGGTTACACCAGAACTGTTCAGAAGTTTTACACTTGAAGCTTGGATCAGTGAAGGGACGGCAGCTTTTCAACTGATACGATAAAAGTGCTTCAGAAGTCAGGTCAGGATTTTATTGCTGTCATCTTATGGCAAACATCTGAACAAGTCAGCTTCCACACGCTCTCTGGTAAGACCCATCCACTGAGGTGTGCACTGGGCTCACCACCTGCCGGGGAACCTGGGTGCCAGGCCCCTCCTGCAGGGCCAGGCGCTAAACAGAGGCAGTCTTTGAGTGAACAGGCCTTCGAAAGGCGGCCGGCCTCTGAACACACTGCCTCTATTGCATTAGTGCTTTCCGATCTACTCCAGTACTTCTGGGCAAACCATGCTGGATACAGTTACTGAAGCAGGTGTTTGCACCGATCCTGGAGTATGGGAAATGACCAACAGGGAAGCCCTTTAAGCAAAGGAGCTGTAACTCAGCCACTGAGGTGGGTCTCAGAAGCTCCTACCTGATTTCAATGACCGAAGCCTTCAGGGCCCATGATCTCATTCAGACAGTAAGACAGCTTGCTTCCTCGGCAGGTGTGAAATGCTTACTGGAATAATCATTAACATAAACCCAAAATGAAAAACACAAGCCATTTGGGCCTAATGACATTTAAATTGGCACATACTCCTATCTTTAACACATAGGGCACCACTCCATTCTACGCCTTGCTGTGACATTATTAGGAATTGGGATTTTAAATGAGACACACATTTGCAAAACAATCGGAAAACATTTATTATACTGAAATGTGTACATCCTACTATTTAAAAAAGTAGCAAATTTGCTGGTGCCATTAATTTATTGAACCTGTTTCACTGGGACAGACTCACGTTCAATGCCGTCAGTGTCATTTCAGGTTGGATGAGCTTGTGTTTTGACCCGCCACTCCTAAAGCCTGATTAGAAATTCAAAGTAGCACACAGCATTATATGCCATTTATTGTTCCATGAATCATGAGACCCAAGAAGGAATGCTAAATAGACGAGCAAAACTTTAAAAGAAGTAGAAGAGAAGCTCACTTCCTAAGTAACTGGCACAGAAACACGTGGTGATGCAGACGTAGCGGGAGGAGAAAGGCAAGCACTCCTCCCACGGGGGATGGTGGGGACTGAAGACAGGAGGGGACACTTCCCTGCAGCCCATCAGGAACGCCCTTTACGAATACAGCAAGGAGTTTTACCCGCTGAAGTAGTTTGTCTTCTGGGAGATTTCAAACTCAAACTACTTTCTTCCACCTGAACACAGATGAGGACCAACTAGTAGGTTACCAGCCAAGACCTGGACAAATGGACAGAGATGTTACAGTGAAAGTGGGGGCCTCTGTGCCACCACAGGCCTCCAAGCTGCTTTCTCATGAGTTCTGGGAAGGCTCTGGGGTGAAACAGAGACTAGGAGGAAGAGGAGGAAATACTAAGTTCCCTTGACATGTAGGCCAGCAGAGAAGCATTTGGTTTTACAAAAGAGGCACTCTTTTTATAGAAAAGCTAGTACGTGTATAAAAAGCCCTAGCCGTCCCCAGAAGGCGCATCCGCGACGGTGCACCGAGTGTGTGCTTTCTGCCACCTAGTGTTGCCATGAATGACTCCATCTTGTTCATACCAGATCCCAGGACACCGAGTCAGAAGCTATCAACAGTAACACCTCACCGCTACTCACACCACTCATTTCCAATGTCCGGGCCAGGGCTTTAACAGTGATTAAGAACAGGGCAGCGTGGGGCTAAGGATGGAGAGGCAGAGGGAAATGAGAAAGAAAACCACATGAATATAAAAGTCAAGGAGGCTTCAACAAAGGAAAACCAGAAACTAAAATGCTAAAAATGGAAGCAGAAGCAAAACAGTTTCAATAAACCTGTGACAAAGCAAAAATACGAGTCTTTGTACCTATTAGGATTTACACTGATCCTCTCACCAAGGTACTCCTGAAATGCACTCCGCTCCAAGCCCGGCTTCCTGGCTTGGATCTTCCTGGCTCCGCCGCCATCACATCAGGCAGACATGATTTCCTCTGAGGCGGCGCCGAGCTGCTCCCCTGACCACTGGCTGCCAGGCCAGCACACGCCTCCCTCCACAGGCAGGTTCCACGCTGGCTGCACGCAGCACTGTCCCCCAGCCCGTCCCCAGCTCAGCGTAAGGTTCTGGCGACGAAAGCCACACTGGCCCAGAAAGGTAAATGCCCACAGTAAGCTTTTACATTCAATTCCAAACCGCATACAGTGTAAAGACAGCGGAGCTGCTTCCAGGGACTGTATCTGTTGGCCTCTGGCCCGCGCTGGCCTGCAGGGCTGGGGACGCGCTGTCCCGACGTGCTCGGCCATGGCAGTGACAGTGAGGAGACTTGCCGCTCACACAGCTCATGAGAAGGGCTTTCAATCTTGTGTTTTCAATATGAAACATTTCATATGGTAAAATCCAATGCCAAGATTTCTTGGATTCGGTCTTCACACACTTCTAAGCATGACTATTTGGTAGTGAATTATAGTTCAGAATACATAAGACATCACTTCAAAATTATGTGGATACCATCATTATTTTCAGCTGCAGAAGAAAAGGAAAAAAATGGTCATTAATTTTTAATCAGGCTAAGGAGAAGGCAAGACTATTAAATTCAAAATTCCCTGGAATCTACAGTTCCCTTTCCAATTCAGGCTTGACCTGGCTGTGCGTGCTGGCACTCCTTTCTGGCGTTGGCAGGCAGCTGCTTCCTGTCTAGCCCCGCTCCTGTGGGCTCCCACAGTGCACAGCGGGGTTCTGGCCACACCAGCAGGAGCAGAGGAGATGCTGTACAGGCCAGAGGGCTACACGAGCCCCATGCAAAACGCACAAAGAACCTGAAGCAGCAGCACTGGGCCCACGCACCTGTGTCTGCGGGAAAGCGTGTGAATTCCTTGGAGAGGGAGTTGCAACATTTCCAACCCGTGCACCACCACTTTGGCCCAGCAGCCTCAGTATGCAATGACAGTGCTCCGGGAACTCCCAAGTTACTTGTAGCACAGGACTAGTCTGAAAACAATGAGCCGCGTGGCGGTGGGGGTCCCGTGCTGGCTGCAGTGGGAACGCTCTGTCTTGCCCAGTAGCTCCCAGCCAGGCTCCACTGCCCCCGCAAGCACAGACCGCCCCCTGTCCTTCACTCCATTATGGACATGTTCCTGCTGCTGCCCAGCGTGGGGCTGCCCGCCCGCCGGGGGTGGACTCTCACTGTGGCCCTGTATCAGGCTCAAAGTGCGCACAGTCCGACACAGAGCACACGGGGAGATGCCGAGACCCCTGGCCCACGGGAGGACTCCCTCCCCAGTTGCTACCTACAGCTACAAGCAGCAGCGACAATATTTTCATTTTCTTCCTCCAACTCCTAACTTCCTAAAATCAGTAGAGCCAGCATGATCAAGGATCCACGCATTTAGGGGCACGTACTGATTTTCATGATTCTAGCATTTAAAACACACGTGTCAAATACCTTTTACCGTAGAGAATAAAAAACAACTCTCATCTTGAAAGTTCTGAACCATCTGCAAGAAAAGGCAGACAAGTGTCCCTTCTTAACAAAGAATTTCAGTTAAAAGGAAACAGCATAATACAGAACTCACAGCCACAATGATCCTTTGGAGGAAATGTGAGGGAACCAACCCGCCACCCGGCAGGACCTGTGCTGACGGTGCCTGCTACAACAGGCCTGACAGAGCAGGCCGCTCACCCACAGGACTGGCATGAAGTGCTTTGCTCTTACACTTGAAAACTTACGCGGCTTACGCAACTGCCATCCAATGCAACAAAGGGACCATACGCCCGCCCTATCTCCTGACAGAAAGGGCCACTGCTCAGTCCTGCAATGCACTGCTTGCCTTCAAAGACAAGTGGGGGACTTGCCAGGTTGCCTCGTATTCCTATCATTAGGATGGCTGAAATTGTCTTGGTTGTAACTTGTAATGTCATGGGTTCAGCGCCATGGGGCAGTGCATTTAGCTGCTGCCTGTAATGCTGGCATCTTTACACAGTGCCAGTTTGAGTCCTAGCTGCTCCACTTCCTGTCCTCCCTGTTAATATGCCTGGAAGGCAGAGGATGGCCCAAGGCCTCAGGCCCCTGCCACAACACCCGGATGGGGTGCCAGGCTCCTGGTCCGGCGCCTGCAGCTACTGGAGTCAATCAGCGCGCGAAAGATCTCTCCCCCCACCCCTTCCTCCCTCTCCTTGTACTTGTGTGTCTGTGTGCGACTGCCTTTAAAATACATAAAAATTTTAAAAATACGTCTATTTTGAGTCCCTATCTTTTGAAAACAGTTCTCCTGAGTATTTGCAAGAAACGACACCATGTCTCCACAGTTCTATGATGTGCAGAGACAAACGCCAATGGGAGAGGAAGCGAGAACAGGCAAGCCTGTCCATTACCTGATCGCTAACAAGGATGTGGATACCAGTGGGGCCTTGTCTGTAAACCTGGTTGATTTTGTGAAAAGGAATATTAAACACCAGTGCAAGCTTCCGAGCAACTTCTGAGGCAACCATTTCTTCCAAGTAGATTGCATGATAAACTGAAAAAGAAAGTAGACCGCTTTAACAGTGACCTATAATTTCTTTTCTACCTGACCTACAGATCCACAGAAGAGCCCAACTAAGCACCGGATGTAAGACTGGAACATGGGAGCAGGCCATAGCTTAGCATGTGAGACTCCTGCATTGTGCATTGGAGGGCCTAGATGCGATGCCTGTCTCTAGCCCCTCACTCCAACTTTCTGCAGGTACACATCCTGAGAGGTGACACTGAAGGCTCAGGCATCGGTCCCCAAGACCCAGAGCAGACAGCAGAAGCCTGGACTGTGTCCATGAATCCTGTCCTCAGCACCAGCTGTGCCAGTCATCACTGGCATTGAGAAAAGTGAAGCAGCAGATGAGACACGTGGCAGCGCTCTCTGTCTCTGCCCCTCAAAATAGGGACTAGGCTGCAAACAGACATTTTTTGAGTAATGGCAAATAAAATTGTGCTACTGCTGCTGTAAAACTGTAAATTTCAAATACCACTGAATTGTGTACTTTTTACAATGGTAGGATGTTATGGTATATGCATTACAACTAAAGAAAGTTTTTTTTTAAAGTTATCCCTAGTAATATATAAAAATAACCCCTAAGAGTCATGGGCTTTTGATCTATGACTACTTGAGAATTTATCCTAAGGAATAAAGCTATCTGCATACACACAATGCAGAAGACACCATGGAAAAGCTGCAGCTCCAGATGACATGCCAATCTTTACAGGTAGTCTGTGCCGTGTTCTGCATCTCTGGCACACCTGTGTCACCAGCAGATGGCTGCACAGCACACGCCTGCAGCCAGGGGCACCCCACCGCTGCTCCCCACACACGCCCTGGAGCCATCCACATTGGAGCTCGGCTTGGCCCTGGCTTTCTGTGAGTGGGACTGCGGACATCCCCGTGACGGGCTCTGAACCTGAAACTAAAATGAGGCCGAGACCACAGAGATGATCCCAGCAGGGCTCACTGCATCGGCAGACTGGCCATGGCCAACTCCTGCTTGCTACTTAGTAGTTTTCTGGCAGTTTTACTGGAACATGGCTGCTAGCAGTGGCAGACCTGAAAGGTTCTCTAGCATGGAATAGTTAGAAGTGGTCTTTTATGGGAAAACTTGGAGATACATCCTCTGCCAGGAACTCCATCTGGGTCTCCCCTGTGCAAGGCAGGGCACTTTGCTTTCCACCTGTTTCGTTCCCAGGCACATCAGCAGGGAGCTGGATCAGAGGCAGATTAGCTGGGCTCCAAACTGACACTCTGACATGGAGTGTTGGTGTCACAACGCCAGCCCCACATGTCTGCTACTAATGCCATCAGGGGAAGCAGCCGCTGATGGCTCAAGGGCTCAGGTTTCTGCTACTCAGGTGGGAGCAGAGATGGAGTTCTGGCCTCTGACCTGCTCTAAACTCAGATGAAGTGGGAAGTGAACCAGCAGGTGAAGATCTCTGGCTCTCTGCCTTTTAAATAAACTGAAAGAAACGACAAGATCCCTGGTGTGGCTGGTAACAGAGGTTGCTGGTTTCCCTTCCTGGCACTAGAAGGGCTGCCTCCCAGCTGTCAGAACTCACCACAGCCATCGGGCAGTCTGAATCCAGAGGAGCACGCCAAAGCACCACCCAAGGCCGCTCTTCTCTGACAATTTCAGAAAGGAAGTGACAGAAGTGAAATGCCCTTGATACCTACCATAGGGTGTCCCACCACCGTTCTCGCCTGCACTGCCTGCAGCTGGCTGCTGCCCTCTCAGGGCTGTGCTGCGCGGCTGCTCCTGGCAGACATAGATGGTTAAACGAGGCCTGACTGACCTGCAAATCAGAAGAGGCCACTAATGAGCTTGGGCCTTACACCCTGTACACATAGCAACTACAGGAATCCAAGTTCTATCTCCTTATGAGAACTTTACAGTTTTTTCATTACACAAAGCAATTTATGAATAAAAAAAAAACCATCTCACACCAACTGTCACAGGTTGTCTAACCATCTGTGGTCCAGACTACTGGGGACGGCCTGTCAGATGCAAGTTAAGTCATAATTTACAAACAGTAAGTTTCAATTTTAATGGAAATCTCACACCTCAAGTCTAGAAATGCAGTGACAGTAAATGCATCTTAAAACAGACAGCTCTGTTTACAGAGCCATGACTTTAGTTCACCATTACAAGTTTACATTTTTAATAACTGTTCAGTACAAGCCATGACCTTGAAAACCACAGATTCGGTAACACTCACCTAAATTAGTTTTCTTTTCCTGGCAACACACCCGGTTGTCTTCCAGAACCAAGTCCTGCCCCTGTGTGTCTGTACCCATCTGACTGTCTACCCCTGCCCGGTGAGTACCTGCAGGCTAGCCGTGCCTGTCTGGCGTGCACACCAGCCCACCCCTTGCGTGGACACACGCCGCCCAGATCCCCATGTCAAGACAGGTTTGTTCTTATCTCATGCAAAGCATCCACAGGAGTTTACCTGGACTTGAGTGAATTGTAGAGCCGAATCCCATCGGCTGCACCACAAATCTGAACTAAATCCTCCTTTGTCAGTTTTAGTAAGTCGGCACCTGGAGAAGAATAAAGACATTCTTCAATCCATAGAGGACAGACAGAGCTGGCTTCCTGACAGACTTGTCTGCGGGCAGTTCCGTCTCCTTGCAAACAGTGTCCTGGGCAAGGATATGCCTGGATGACGTGAGACACACCATGTGGCCCTCACAGCCACGGAAAATGCCGACGTCCTCACACCTTGTATAGGGACGAGCTCACTGAAGATCCAGCAACTCAGAAGCCACAGCACAGAGCAGGGCGTTAGTGTGTGGGTGCGGTGTGGTGTGGATGACCAGGGCTCCCCAGACCAGTCAGGCTGAGATTTTACAGAAGAGAACATCCAAGTCTTGTTCAAGCTCACAGCGAGCTGGTCACAGAGCAGGAACGAACAAGCTGCTCTATCCTGCAGCATGCAACATCAAGTCAAAGGCTTTGGACCCAGCAGCCAGTTTTAATAGGAAAACACAGCCGAGAACTGCGCTTCATACCTTCACATTTCCCTTGTGGATACTTGATAAGCACAAATGACCTGATAGTTAGGATTTGCTCTAAAATAAACAAAGTGGGAGAGCCCCAGAGAGCAGCCGAGCCCCAGGTTAGCAGTTCTGAAAGCCAGGATTCGTCACATGGGAGTTCAGCAGATTCTTGTCTCTACCTTTTATGCCTGAGTACATCCATAACCTTCTGTCTACTTCTCTTACCAACTGTCAATGCAGTTTACTGTGACAACAAAGATGCCCTGAGATGAAGGCGGACTTCCATTCGATAAACAGCCACTCACAATTGTAACAAGACAACAGGGTCTTTGTTTTGAAGAGCTCCACTCTCTCAAATCAGAGCCTGGTAAACTTCCAGTTTGTAAAAGAAAGAACCCCAGAGGAGCACAGCTCTCGGGAGCGCTGGAGCACGGCTGTCTGTGAAGTCTGACGGGGAGGTCCTCTCGGCTTTCCACTGGGGTCTCCTGCACACCTCGGAGACAGGGCTCTTGGCTGTCCCCAGAGATGGCAGACACAGGAGCCCAAGCACACAGCCTTCCTGGAGGCCTCACTCTCTTCACTGTCCTCCGGTCAGGACTGCAATGCCTAAAGGCGCATGGGCCAGTCCCGAGCCCTCTGGAGGAAGCCATAGGCGGAGGCCAAGGCAGGACATCATGGCTCCAGATCAGGGCTGACAGTGACAGGAGCACAGTACTCCCTAGAAGGAGACGGCCACCTGCCTGATCCCACTAGAGTGCTTGGGGCCTCCCTCAGGCCCAGTGGCCAAGGTCTCTGCACTGGGCTTTTCATTTCCCTTCTCTAGGGGTGAATCAAGACAGCAGCCCATCCACTGCCCTAACAATGTCTGGTTGTTCACACAAAGGCATTCCTTAGTCACATAAAAGCATGCATCTAAGCTAGCAAATGACTTCCATCTGGTCCTTTGATTTTAAAGGAACAGCCAACAGGAAGATTACCTACCCATTGTACAACTTGTAAATGGTCTAAGCAGGTTATGGTGCTGTTCCTCTGGCTGGCGAGCACACACACAGGTGCTCTATCCCAGCAGCACAACGCTTCAGGGTCTGCTCTGCTGTGACCAGCAGTGCTCCGGAAACACTGTAGGACATGCTAGCTACGTCTTCTGCTGGCAAAGGATCCTGCAGGCCAACAGCTCTGGGAAGGCCTACCCTGTCCTGTGTGGCTCCTGTTTTTGCTCCTCTCAGCATCCCCTCTGGCTCACTAGCTTTGGGGGAGAAACTTACAGTCACAAATAAAATAACATCTAGTACATTTACACCATGAAATAGTACTCAGCAATAAGGGTTAACTATTGATACATGAAAAAATTAGGTGGATCCTGAGCTCACCATGTGGAATGAAAGAAAGCAAAACAAAATCAAGAGAGACCAGCAGACAGAAAGGCCGAGCTCCAGAGGTCACAGATGTGCCTACCTGCATCATGTCCCAAACAGGGCGACCTCACAGATTACGGAAGAGTGCAGTGGCGTGCAGGATAGAGATAGCAAGGGGGAGGGCAAGGTGGAGGGTGACGGGTCGGCCCAGAAAGCAGTGACAGGAGACTGCTGTGGCACTGGCACAGTTCTCTGTACTAACTGTGATGAAGTGACATTGAGCTTCATTCATATATCACACCAATGCCAGTGTCCTGCTTTTGTTAGTGTGCAACCGTTACACAACATTTAACTGTCAGAGGAGGTGGTACTGTGGCCCAGGGGGTTAAACGCCGGCATGCAGCACTGGCATCCCAGGTCTTTGGCTTCCAAGGCAGCGCCAGGCTAACACTTGCTCCTGGGAGACAGCAGGGCGGCCTGAGTGCCAGGGCCCGGCCGCTCTTGGGAGAGGGCACGGCAGAATTCTATCTTCTGGCTTTGTCCTTGCCCAGTCCTGGCTGCCGTTGACATTTGGGAAGTGAAGCAGTGGATGGAAGATATATCATTAACCTCTTCCTACCTTTCAAATAAATAAACCTTTATTTATTTTAAAGATATAATTATTGGGAATGGGAACATGGGAGCTCTCTACATTTCTGCAGCTCCATAGCTATCCATCTGTAACATTCCATTTTTTTTAAATTCTGAAAGTTTTCTTAAGCAGAGAAACACACAAACAAAACACTGGATCATGTGCATGTAAAAGACATACCTGAAAAGTTAGAGAACAGTCTTGTGTAGGAAGAGAATCTGTTCTTGAGCAGCCACTGCTGTGTTTCCTGGGGCGTAGCAGAAGGCTGAATTTGCTATCAACAAGGAAAATGAACACAAAGAGAAGAGATAATTCAAGCTTGCAGAAAAGAACCCAAGTTCCTGGAGTGTTATTGGGAACATTTAAATACACCACAGAAAGCCCAAGGCTTGCCAAAGCACTCCAGAGGAATGTGTGACTGCAGGGACCTGAACCCTGGTCAGGAGCCAGGCAACCCCACACAGCTGGGGAACAGACCTACCTCAGTGGTGGCCTGGGAAGCGCCATCTCCCTGATGATTCGGCGATGAAGAATTGCTGCAGAGAGAGGAAAAGGAAGCGCTGACACACGCTGCTTCTAGAACCCGCGCCGCCGAGAGCTGCTACACTAGATTCACTGAGTGGGCGCCACTTGGGGAATTACAATGAGCCTGACACTGATGTACTGGTTCTCACCCTGATGGCTGCTTTCCCCACCCCGACTTCCAATAAGGCAGCACTAACAGGGAGCTTTGTGGGTTTGCAACAAGAGCAGGCGCTGCAGGCTAGACTGTGGAAGCTACGACAAGGGTCAAACACAGATCCTGTCTCAATTTGGACCTCTGCACTCACTGCAGCCAAAAATTCAAAATTCTGTGAACAAATTACCTCTGAAGGTGTGAGAAAAATAGACAGTCACGTATTTTAGTTAGGAAAAACATTTAAAAAATATATAGATACTACAAACAACTGAAAAAGCTGTCCACCCCCTCCCCCCCAAAAAAATCGGGAAAATACTGAGTTACAACAGAATGATTCTAAGTAAAACTATATGATGAACATATATCCATGAGTAAAAAGGGCAAAAGGAAGAGAACAGAACAAAGCAGCTCAAACCACTGCCTCTGTGTCTCAAGGCAGAATGGCAGAGTGGTAGCTCTGTGGAGCCCCCGGCCCCGCAGCCATCTACGCCCACTGCTCTGCGGGCTCCAGCTCTTCTCCCTCCAGGGGATGACTCCTGCACAGCAAAAGCAGCAGGCTCTCAGGAACCCCCAGGCGACTCGCAAAAATGGGAGTGCAGGGTGTGCCTCTAGGGCTGTGCACACCCTCTGACAGCACTCCGGTGCCCCGGTCTCTCCCGTGTCTGTCCACAAATAACCACAGCGCACAGGCGAATGAGCCGCCTCATCGGTGCACTCGGCTCGCTCAGGCCTCGTCAGCATGACAAGAGTGGGGATAGAAACTGACACCTTGTCCTTTGTGGTCTCAGCGTTCGCGATTTTCCTCACCAACAAGAAAGTTCCCCAAACCAGGGAACCTTTGATCCAAAGGGACTCTGTGTTAACATGCCACAAAGCCCCAGGACAGAAAGTCCCACAGACACTTGCTCAGCCACACAACAGTTCTGGCCTGAGCTCCCTGGGTGCCTGGCCAACGGTGGCCAAGTCCTCCAGCCCTGCTTCTGAAACTGGGATGTCTTTAGAAACTGGAAGAACTTCCTTTATTCTAAAGAATCAAGAGAAAAAAAAAAAAGTACGTTGGCAGGGAAAAAAGGGCAGAAAATAAAGGTAAACATTATACAAATGTCCATGGTGATAGATGCATTTTTAAAAAGATTTATGTATTTTTATTGGAAAGTCAGATTTACTGAGAGGGAGCAACAGAGAAAGATTTTCTGTCCGCTGATTCACTCTCCAAGTAGTCACAATGGCCAGAGCTGAGCTGATCCAAAGCCAGGAGCCAGGAGCTTCTTCCAGGTTTCCCATGCAGGTGCAGGGTCCCAAGGCCTTGGAGCATTCTCTATCAGGGAGCTGGATGGGAAGTGTGGCAGCTGGCTCTCATAAGGATCCCGGTGCATGCAAGGCAAAGACTTTAGCCACTAGGTTAATGCATTGGGCCTGATAGCTGCATTAATGGACCCAAGTCATAGCTTCTCCACAGCAAATTCCTCTGTCCTTGTCCCTGTAGCAAGCCCAGCAATCCTGTCCATAGCCTCCTGCACAGTATATACTGGCGCCCTCTCCTACAATTTTGCCAAAGGTGGTACACGTGAGGCTCCTAGGCTGGCAAGTGCAGCAATGGCAGGGCCTGTCGTTGCAGAGCTCCTGCAGGGCCTTCTAGAGACATAAACCGTTAAAAAAAAACAAAGAAACAAAAAATGTACGTGTTTGGTGGCCAGCACTGTTGTCTAACAAGCTACTACTTGCGATGCTGGCAGTCCACTTGGGCTCCAGTTTAAGTCCTGCCTGGCTGCTCCACTTCTGATCCTGTTCCCTACTCATGTGCCTGGGAAGACAACAGAGGATGGAGGGTGCTGAGCACCAACGAGCTGCAGGCACAGCACACACCAGTACCTGTCCGGGACACTGCACGTGGTCTGTGAGGAGGTGAACGTGGGCGCCGGGGAAGGGCTGTTATTCACATAGGCTGTAGGGGCATCGGGCCACGGAGAACACTAAGAACAGAAACAGCAGTCAGCGAATCACATGCTTTTAAGACGTGTCCAGCAAGTACTTCTCTCACTCACTCTCTAGTCTGGCCAAATGCAAGAGACTAAAACACAAGACCCCTGACGCCTGGCAAGCCCCCTCAGCCACATGTCAGACTTATTTCTGTGCATCAAGGGAAAAATGTTACCTGCGCTGTGCTTCTAGACACTGATTAATCTGAGAGAAGACCTGAAGTGATGACAGCAGCACAAATTTACAAAGGCATTTGCAACACACAGTTACGGCTAGCTTTCTCTCGAGAACCTTCACCTCTCCTTTATCAGTTCCCCAACAAGCTCCCGAGGGTTAGGAACAGTGGAGACAAGAAAGGACTGGTAAGCAGCAGCTGACATCACAGGGTGCCCTGTCTCACCCATCTGCTTCCTTGATACTCGTAAAGAGGAGCAAAACCCAAGCGAGCCCACCAGGCCAGCGCACAGGACAGATGTGACTCTGCCACCACCCTGGCCCGAGTCTAACTAAGGACACAGGGATACTTGGAAGGGAGCTGGTAAATTTCAATATTTTTAGCCCTAGACAAAACTCTGAGCACAGATAAAGAAAAGATAGAACAACACACAATTCTCATTAGGAGAGTTGATAAAGCCCAAGTCAAAACATGATGAGCAGGTTACGAGATCTGGTCTCCCTCAAGCGGAAGTCTTCAAACATGAGGGATGGAGAAAGCTGCCTCCTCCTACAGATGTTGTTTCTGAAACTAATCTGGTCCTCAATGACCCTTCTCCCATCGCCCACAGACAGTCCAGCTGGTCATAACCCTGGGGTATATGACTCTCAAAGTCAGGAAAATTGCACCATAACAGATTTCAAGAAAAAGTGTGACTCGAAGACCAAAAAGATCTTTCTCTTAGGAGGTGGTCTTCAATTTGCTTTCAGAGTGACTCGGGCTGCCCAACACACAGCAGGTGCATACTCGTCATTAATCAACAAAAGCTCATCAGTGGCACCTCAAGATGTGAATGACACTGCTCAAAGAAAAGTGTATCTAGCCTCTCTCATATTCAGGTTGCAGCCTGTGTCATCACAGTTAAAATAACTACACACAGGTTCATGTGAAATTTTTAAACTTCTACTTATTTCACTGGTATGGTGCAGTAAGTTAAGCTGCCCCTTGCAATGCCAGTCACAGTTCCTCTGCTCCTGATGCGGCATCCTGCTGGAAAACTCACCTGCCTCATCAGCAAGTTTTACATTTATGATGAAAATTCAGGTGTAAATTCGAGAATGTGTCAGAAAATAGTTCCTTTCTCAAAATAGCTGGGCAGGGAAATGTGAGGACACAGTGTGAGGGAGCTAAGCAGCAGGCAATCTGAAGGCAGAATCAGAATACTGCCAGTAGTTACAGGAGCTCTGAGCCCTGTCTGACTGCCATCAAAAACATAAGGAAAAGAGAAACAGATCAAGGCAGGACAAGGAAACAGCAATCAGGTAGACATCTGGTGCAGCAGTTAGAACCACACTTGGGAGGATGAGAGACAAGAGCATCCTGTGCCTGGAATCTCTGGGTTCAAATCCCAGTTCCCTGCAGACACATCTTAGAAGGCAGCAAGTGGCACCCTAAAGTACTCGAGTCTGCTACCCACATGGAAGACCCAGACTGAGCTCCTGGCTTCAGGCGGGCCCAGGCCCAGCTGCTGTGGGCATTTGGGGTGGCCAGTGCATGAAAGATCTCGGTCTCTCTAAGAAACAGACAGAAAATCAATCACAGAAATAGCACTTTCTAACTAGTCAGTTACATACACACCCCCTCACAACTGGAAAATATGGCCTTATGACACCATTTCAACAGTTAGCCTTCCAAACAGAAAGCTAATTGAATAGCTTTCCCCATCTTCATGCATATCATACCAATTTCACTATAAAATTTTCCACAGTGTCAATTCTATTAAAACAATTGCCTTTGTTTTCTATCTTACAGTTTCTCAGCTAATACAATTTGAAGAACTGAAAACCGAATGCGGTGACTATAACAAATCTACTAACTTACAAGTGTCACACACCCTGTCACCTCTACTTCTTAGAAGGGGTTTCCACTATGCCATCCTACCCCAACACAATAACATTGTAATTCAGATTAATACACATATCTGAGTGTTGTAAACTTAATATAAAAAATAATGTTTCTTCAAATTTTCGTTGATTGCTGCCACCTGTTTTTGAGAAAACAAAGCTTCACAAAGCTTCAGGTTAGTATGGCAGAGTAAGACATCAAATTCCCTTAAGGAGAGTCCATCAACACAGAACCAATTTTCATCATGGGCACCCTCTGGCTGTCAAGGTAATGCTGTTAAAAGCAAGCAGCAGTGACGTGTCCTGCTGCCGAACACAGCTGGCCATTCATAACGGCTCCAGCAATTCCTGGCCGGGATCTGCAGTGCCAGGATTCCAGCCAACTGCATGAAGTACCTCCCCAGCTAAGGATGACGACTCAGCATAGGTTGTAAAACCAGGCAGCCCTGATGGGGAGCCCATCAAAGACCAACAGACAGCAAGCCATTTTTGGCAGTCTGAAAACTATAAAATGTTGGCTTTCCTTTGCAGGCATTTGGAAAAAAAAAAAAAAGATGAAAATGCTGCAAACGTCCTTTTCTCATGGATTACTTTGTATCCTGTTTTTTAAAAACAAGGTGAGTCCCACTACCCCTGGAAATATGCTAACAAAGCTAAATGCAGCCCAGTAGCCAGCCGCAGACAGGAAGATGTGAAATCCCAGGCCAGTGGACTGCTGACGTTTTGCATACTTTAGACTTGAGATTGACTCAGAGTTTATCAACAACTTTGCCATTGTATGGTTAGTTATGGCCTATCCCAGGATTTCTTTTACTGTAAAGTATCAAAACCCATTTTTTTGTATTTGCCAAGTCAATTCTATCAGAAGGACAAAGTGATCTGACTTACCCAGAACCTCCCACCCCTCCTATAAGAAGACTGTGGATCCTGGACTAGGAAATCAGAAAATAAAACAAAGTTGGAAGGGTGGAAGTTTGGGAAAAGGAGGTTACAGTGACTTCGACAAACCTGATTTCAATCTACAGCCAAAATAAGGAAAATGCAACATGTGTGTTCCTATGGCACTAGGATGAGAACATTTCCAGTTTCATTACATGAAAAGACAGTTACAGCCTTTTCACTCCATGCTTTAGTACAGACAGGAGGCTCTTGTGGGGTACCTGTCAGTTATTTTTCAGGCTGTATACTTAGACAGGTATAAAAGTGAAAAATCTGGGCAAGCGCTGTTGTATAGTGGATAAAGCTGCTGCTGATTCAGTTTTGGCTGCTCCACTTCCAATCTAGCTCCCTGCTAATGCACCAGGGAAGGCAGCAGGAGGTGGCCCAAGTCACTGTGCCCTTGTGCCCATGTGGGAGAACTGGAAGAGCTCCAGGCTCCCGGTTCTGGATCTATCCAGTTCTGACTGGTTTGGGAAGTGAACCAGAACAAGATTCTCTCTCCTCTCTGTACTTCTGCCTCTCAAATAAATATTAAATTTTCTTTAAAATGGTGAAAAATCCACTTTGCCTCTCACTAGTGCTACATTACAATGATGAGGAGAGCATCACTAATACATCTGGTGACAAAATGCTTTGCAAATGCCTGTTAATGCTGTGTGTTATTTCCTAGCGCTACAGAGGCCATCTACCTTCGCACAACAGAGCAATCCCTGGAGGACTATCTCATGAGAACCCCGTGCTGGGATATGTTCACTTCACTGACCCTGACAGACTCCTATTCCATCCTGACTGCATGGTGGCGGGGGAGCAGGTCTGAGTGCCACGGGAGCGTTACATTGGAAGCAGTAAGTCACAATGCAGGTGCCAAGAGGAAACACTAACGCAGTCAAAGACTCCTTCTGGAACCCGTGCTGCCCAACAGGCTTCTAGAAGCGCAGACACACACTCTTATGCCTCACGCAGGAAGTCTGACAAAGTATTGCACATGGGAATGGCAAGCTCACTGCCGCCATTTCTCCAAGTGGCCCCAGGTTCTCATCAGATATACACACGAGAAAGCAAAATACCTTCTCTAATTACACAGAGACAACTATTTTACTGTATAAAGTACTCTCAACTGATGTCAGTGCTCATTTAGGAGGTGTGTGTGCAAAGGAGAGAGGGGATGGGGTAGGGAGACAGGGAGGGAACATACACTTCTGAATGTCTTTTTTTCCCTCCAAAACCACCCAATATGGCCAACAATGTCTTTGTTCTGTTTCCAAGTGTTAGATTTAGGAAATTTTCCTCAGGGAGGAACAAACAGAAAGCAAGAAGTCTAAACAAAAGCAAATTAGATCAAGACATGGACATCAAAAACAATTTTGGCTTTACTTTTCAGTGGAAGTTGGTCCTATATCTAACACTGCACAAGGTTTCTTGCACAATGAAAAGAGAAGCAGAAGTCCCTTACACTGCCTCGCTTTGCCAGAGAATCACCGTAGTCTGCTGGCAAAGTCCGCTTGCTGGACTTTTTCTGCTCATGTTCAACTGCATCTTCAATTATAGGCTCAAGCCTCATCTGGACAAACACCAAAGATTGGGATCAATGTCTTTTCATTATACAAAGAAAGATCTAATACCCTGTTCATGTCTCTGCAGTCCAATTAAACACATGTATGACTAATGGGAATCAAAATTAAAGAAAATGCAAAACCCCAGCAGTGACAAAGATTGGACATTCTAAGCCCCAACTTAATTTCTTGCCAACTTCGATTTTTAAGGTCTATTTTTGAGACCTGATTGGGATTTCAACATCTTCATTCAAGCTCCCACCCAGGAAACTAAGCTATTAAAATCCCCAAATTTAAATAAAATATTCTCCCCCAGAATTTCACAAGGAATCTCAACAGTCTACCACCCAATCTTCCCCAACCCACTGGTAGAGAAACTCATCTTTGGACAGAGTGCCAAGATGCAAAGCTCTGCTTCTCTCCCAAAGCCCAGCCTGGTCACTGTACCTCGGTGAGGATTGTGGTATCATACGACGGCTGATACTTTTCTTTCTCATGAGCTGTTCTCTTCTCCATCTTCTCCCGGTCAGTTTTTTGCTTCCTGTCTGCACCTTTAGGCTTCAAAACAAAAGAGATTACTCCATCCATCAGGACACAAAGCAGCGTTACAGGTGACACAGTCTTAGGGAGTGACTGCATGCTGCCCCTCTTACCTTGAAAACTTTGATTTGGCAGCTAGCTGAGTGTAGGTGATCTGTGTACTCCCCATTCTCATTCTGCTTGAAGGTGTCTACCTGGATTCTAAAAGGCACTCCCTTCTCCCCTCCATGCTTCCGTGGAGTGAATTCTGTGCTGATGCAGTGTACCTACAAAACAAAGGCACTGAAATGACTTCCAAGAGCTTCCACTAAGCACTTCTCTATCTGTGCTGTCACCACTATAAATGTAAGGTCCTCTGAAATTGAATTCCCACACACTGGCCAAATTCTCTCGTGGATTCCCCCAATAGTTTTTAGTGCACACCTTTCTTCCCCCTCAGACATCCAGTCCTTTCTGAACTTTCTGAGAATGAGCTCCTCCCCACCACGACGCTGCTCCTCGACTGCAGTGCAGGGGGCTCCTTGGGAAGTCCTCGACCTCACTCCACGCTGCATGCTGCTCGGGCGCAACAACTCTTACCTCATCACCCAGAGCGTCTGCTATGGGCCCCGCCCCTGCACCTGCTCTAAGCCGCCAGCTGTTTTAGGACTCTTCCTAATAACTCCCGAGTCCCCCTCCTACCCGTGTGCATCTAACCGCCCAGGTGTGCCTTCAGAGTCCACTCTGCATTCTGGGAGAGTGCTTACCCTCCACCACTTCCACCCTGTTCTCCAACACTGTCACAGAACCAGACCAAGTGAAGAGCAGTGACGGGGCATCTCTCTCTCTCTCTCTCTCTCTCTCTCTCTCTCTCTCTCTCTCTCTCTCTCTCTCTCTCACACACACACACACACACACACACACACACACACACACACACACACACACACACACACACACACACACACACACACACACACACACACACACACACACACCACCCCCCCCCCCCCCCCCCCCCCCTGTTTAGATGACCTGCAGTGTGAAAACTTAGACTTTTGCAATATGACCTGGAGATTCAGGCCGGGGCTTCTATCACTCTCATTTGCTATAGAACTAGTTACCCTGATGGACAGACACAACATCAGGGAAAAGAGGGACTAATATTAAACCATGTTCCAGTGACTATTAACTAAAACTAAGAATCTGATAGATCTTAAAACACAAAAATACTAATGATCCACCATTGCTCATGCAAATAAGTCAGTGTATTTGGGCTGGTCAGAAATGAGCTGTTTTCCTTTGCTATATATAAAGATTACCTATTCAAAAAGCAGAACATTTTGGTATTATATATTTTTAAATATTTAATAATATTTTAGTATGTCATGTCAATGACAAGGATGCCCACACCCGGTGTCAGAGTGCCCAGGCTGCAGTCCTGGTCGTCTCGGATTCCAGTCTCCTACTCAAGTGGACCAGGCAGTAGCAGTGACGGCTTAACTAGCCCCTGCCAACCACGTCAAAGACTTGGTTTCTGACTTCGACCTGTTGGAGCCCAGGTGTTGCGAATACGTGGTGTGTGTACACTCACATGTACACCTTTAAAAACAAATAAAAAGATACAAGAAAGAAACACGAAAGCTAAAATATTTTTTAACCCAATCGCATCCTTTTAAATGGAAGGTTCTATTTAAGAGCAACATAGCTCAGGAAAATATGTGCTTTGATTATTATGACTATCAATGATAAAAAGTAACATTTGGGTAACATTTACATAACACAGAATGAACTTCTAAGTCTAGCTATCAGATGACAGATTTAGGCTACACCGCTCTAACTGTGCCAAAGAGAATAAACACAATACCCTCCAGTTTATAAAAAAGCACGTTTACAAACTGGTACCATGTTTCCAGAACTGTCTCCCACCATGGCCTTGTAAACAGCTGGGTTAGGGAAGTTTCTCATAATGAAGTAAAAATCCAAACCTGAATGAAAGCAGATGTGCGTTTTGCAGGGTCCCACAGAAATTCAACCGCATTTAACTGACTCGGATTTGTCCTGGTGTCAATTATTCCCACAGACATCGGAATATCTGTTTTTAAAAAAGAAATTATTAAGTAAAAACATATCTAACTTATATAAAGTAGTGACAGCTATTATGTTCTAAGGAAATAAACATTCCCGCATTACGCTTTTGCCTTCAATGTGCTCCACAAGCACCTGTTCTTCGATGACAAACCCACTGAACCAGCATCAGTTTCTCTTCCCACGGTTCATGTTTTAGAAAGACTATGATGGACGGTACCCACAGAACTAAATGGTTAGAGAAAACCTCTAATTCTTGGGTGCAGGTTGAGTTTTATTAAACTACACAGTCCCATAGGAGCCTCCAACACCCAAACATTCTCCACAGAATTAGTCACACAAGCACAGGTGGAGCCCCCGCCGCCCCGGCCCCGTGCACCCTGCCCGTGGCCAGTACCTAAGTCGAGCAGCCTGTCTCCTGGGCGATTCCACTTCCAGCCTTCGAGCTGCTGATGCTCTGTGTACTGCAGCCGTCGGTCATGGAACACAACCCGTATGATGCTCTGCGGAGCAAGCGGGGGAGACGAGTACCTTCAATGACTCCCAAGAAAATGCAGGAGCACTATTTCCCACCCGTGAATCCACAGTTAAAGAACACTAACTACACATTCCATAACTCAACCTCTCTGTTCTTCAGTAACTGGATAAGGGCAGAGTTATTTGACAGAGAAATTCAAAATAAAATGGTTACGTAGATTTAATGCTTTCACATTGTAGCTCGAAATTGAGAGATGCTTATAAAAAGAATGAGTAAAATTTACATTTCTAGGAGGAAAATGCCAGATGCAAAATAATTTTTCAAAGATTTTATTTATTTACTTGAAAGAAAGGCTGACAAAGAGAAACAGAGATTCTTCCATCTGCTGGCTTGCATTCCAAAGAGCTGCAACGGCCAGGACCAGGCTGAAGCTGGGAACTGAAGGGAGGATCCTTACCTTTACCAATTTTCCACTAATCTCAGGCATATCGCCCATTTTCCGATTATCCAGCATCCGAATTTCATAAGACTGACCTATTTGAAGAAACTGAATATCAGAATCAATCCACACATATACATAACTGTGTGACCCCATAAAACAGTGCGTTATTGCACAGCAACTCCGTGTCAAATGATTACTCTGCTAGAAAAGGAAACGCAGGTAACCTGAGCCCTTCTTACACCGTTGCGGGAGGCTCTGCTGCTTCAATTTGCATCTCTTACGCTCAGACGAATTTATTATCTGACACTAATTTTTGTAACAGTTCTTGTAGCTCCTGGATTCATGTCAGCTCAGCCCTGGCCATTAGGACCATTTGAGAAGTGAACCAGTGTACATAAGATCTCGTTCTGTTTCTCCTCTCTCTCTAAATCTGTCTTTCAAATAAAAATAAATAAACCATTAAAACCAAAAAGAGTACTTGCATCAGCTGCACATATACTGAAATTAAAAAAACCAAGCTACTAGTAAAAAATGACAAACTATACATCCACTAAAAACTATTTCTATTCTATCAATAAATAAAGATAGCAAAATTAGGACAAAGAAAAAACATTAGTGAAAAGAATGCTGTTAATATCACATAACACTGAGACTCTGCCTAGCACAACCGCCAGGATCCTGCCTACTCTCTCACTGGGATTACTGGAAAATACAGAGTGAATGATCACAGAGTCAGGACTCAAGAAAGGACTGTTAACAATATAGCTACTAAATACAGAGTATAAAAAGCATACGTATGAGTGAAACTGACACCCTGGGATTTAATTACTGTTTATAGTCCTTGCCTATACTCCTATAGAACACTGGGCTTTCTACTTCTTAACTATTTATTTATCAAAGGATTATGCCTGAATTATAAAATAAATTGGGCCAGTGTTGTGGTATAGTGGGTGAAGTTTCCATCTGTGACAACACTGTCCCCTGAGGATGCCAGTTCATGTCCCTATTCCAGTTCTGACCCAGCTCCCTGCTATCAGTCAGGGAAAAGCAGTCTGGTACAGACTCTGTGCCCAGGTGATGTGAAGGGTTGTCTTTATTAGGGAGCTGTAAAGGTGGGGGGTTTGGGGGACAAAGAAATGTGTCTTATACGTTGCTACAGTGTCACAGGATCTCTTCGACCTTGGTGGATCTGTCCATCACTGTTGGCTGAGGGAGGAGTCACCTCCCAGTGTGGCCTTATCAGCCTCCCTTCTTAGGCTCCTTCTAGCCCAGGCCTCACCCCTCAGCTGGGCCTTACAGGAACCGTGACAACAAGCTCAGTCAAGGAGACCTCAACAGGGAAGTGTTAGGGTTACAGTTCTTAGGCCAAGCCAGCTCAAGGCCTGTGGAGGAAGCACAGCCCTTCCCTGGCGTGACAGCAGTAGCCCAAAGAAGAGCAGGCAGGGAGGTGGGAGTGTGGTAGCAGCCTTTCACACGACTGCCAAGGACAGAAAACTTGTCTCCCCAAGACAGTTACCTTGTGGTCCTCAGAAACTCAAAAATCTCAGGATTAAAGTACACACACATCAAAAAAAGAAACCTCAATGTCTGTCTGTATTTTTTTTTTCCTGGTCAACCTATGGGGGAAACCTATGCACTCAATACAGACTTCAGCCAACTTGCACAAGTGGGTCTTAAGATCTACTGCTCTTGTACTAAAGCACTCTAAATCTTCACTCTTAAGAAATCTGAACTAAAGTTTTACAAAAGTCTTTCAAATTGGGGGGGGGGGGGGACACAACTGCTTATCTGGATAATTCTCCACCTCCAAGCACCAGTATCCCATACGGGCACCAATTTGTGTCCTGGCTGCTCCACTTCCCATCCAGCTCCATTATTGTGGCCTGGGAAAGCAGTGGATGGTCCGAAACCTTGGGATCCTGCACTCACAAGGTAGACCCAGAGAGGACTGCTGTTTTGGCCACTGCAATCAATAGGGGAGTGAATCAGCAAATGGAAAATCTTCAAAGCAAAACAAAAAAAGTTTTCAGTTGGTTTTCCTACTGCAAACTACATCTCTCTCAATGGGTACATGCATTGGTTGAATGAACAACCAGACTTTTATTTCTATTTGTTTGATAACACAGTCAGATATACAGAGAGGAGGAGAGACAGAAAGAAAGAAAGATCTCCGTCCGATGATTCACTCCCCAAGTGAGCGCAACGGCTGGTACTGAGCCGATCTGAAGCCAAGAACCAGAAACCTCTTCCGGGTCTCCCACACGGGCGCAGGGTCCCAAAGCTTTGGGCCATCCTCAACTGCTTTCCCAGGCCACAAGCAGGGAGCTGGATCAGTAGTGGAGCAGCTGGGATCAGAACTGGCACTCATGTAGGAGGATTATCCTGTTGAGTCACTTTGCTAGCCACAAGAACCAATGTTAATCAAAAGAAAATCTACAGTACGAAACAAAACGAAACCAAACTTTTCCTTTTTCATTTAACAGATTCTGTAATCCAATCAGCACGCTACTTCCCAAAGCCAGACTTATTTCCAAAGTGGCTAACTTTGGAACATGGCTACTTAGCGTTCTCAGCCATGTTCTCCGAGCACAATTGGCCCTCCAAATCTAGTCACTGGGGATAGACTAGAGAAGGGCTTTTTCCCCATCTGAGATGTGAGGGATGCAAGCAAGCTCTCATCCACTAGCTGGACTCTGCACCAAATGCATGCACGGGCTGAGACAGGGCTAAGACCAGCGAGAGCCAGGAACTCAAGCCCTGCAGCTGTGACCACCTTCCCTCAAGGTCCACACCACAGGAAGCTAGAAGCAGGGCTTGAAGCAGAGTCAGACTCAGAAGCTGGAGGCAGGGTTCAAAGCTAGCTACCATCAGGCACTCTGGCCCAGGCTGCAGAAGTCCTAACCTCTAAGCAAGAGAGAAGAGTTTATTTCACTGGCTCCGTTAGGCGGTGACCCAACAGCAACAGGGAGCCAGTCTGCAATGTGGCAGGGAGGTAATACCGGAAGTTCCACTCCCTTGCATCAGGACACAGCGCCTGCGCTGCAGGATGAGGTAGTCCATCCAGCCACAGGTCTGCTCTGCAAGAGAGCCAGTGTTGAGACTAAGGCTTCTCACACCCAAGCAAAAGCAGGCAAGCACAAATTTAGCTTCTAAACTGCAAACTTCTACAGTTCAAAAAAATATTTTTTTATAAAAGCAACATTGTAAGAGACCAACATAGCTTAGAAAACTTGATCCAGCTTCCACCTGACAATAGTGAGACTGCACTGAAGTGTCTATCTACAGCGTCAGCGGCCAGTCCTCTTCCCACTAGCTGGGGCAGCGAGTCTTGGGGGAGGTTACGTAACACTGACGCAGGCAGGCAGGCAGGCAGGCAGGCAGGCAGGCAGGCAGGCAGGCAAAGCAAGTCGTTCAGCCCCCAAGGCTACGCCAATCTCCTCCAGATAAATCCTGCTATTGGAGGCAGTTACAGCCTTGTGTCTTCAGACCACCCACAGCATCAGGGGAAGAGCAGAAACACCAACAGGCCTTGGGCTTTATACAGAGAGGACAGGAAGAACCCCGTGAGGAGTGCATTATGTCACTGGATCATCACTCCCAGGGCACCCCACCAGTCCCCCCATCCACAAGGGCCCTGAGGCAGCGTCAGAGACCCTCCATGCTCCCTGCCACCTTTTTCCCCAGCCCCCCCAGACATACCTCTCACCCCTCCTCCCCACCCTGATTGTGCCTGCACTCCCAGTCCCCTCACCTCTGCAGAGAACAGTAAAAATCTAATGATTTTGTTATGAAGAGAATTAATTAATTTGGAAGATGTGGTCTGGGGCCCTGTTCCGAATCTGCTGACTCGAGCACTCCACACAGCACAGGGACCACCTTTTGACAAGCCCCCCCCCGGGGGGGGGGTTCCCACACATGCCACTGGGGAACCACTGCTCTACGAAGGAAAGCTACCGTCGGCAGTCAGTTGTTGGGGTCCGTGCAGTGGATGTGGGGGACACGAAGGTGTGAAAGGGCCGCAAGGAACTTCCCTCTGTTTGGCAGAGCCAGGCGGACATGCAGCTCCACCTTTTTTTGCATGGACTCCGGACCACTCTGTGGAAGAATTCTAATCCATCCAGGCATTGTTTGCTACTGTGAGGTTGGCCTTTTACTCAATGTGAGCTTGGAGGTTAATATCAATGATAAGGTCTTGCAAAAGGGCCTTCTATTATTCCTACTGTCTTGGCTATCCTCATTGACCTTATGCTAATCAAAGGACCTATATTTTGGGTTTCATTCTTTCCTCATTCTTTAGGTTCCCCTTTTCTTTGTGATACAAGATTGAGTTGTAGGATAAGAACTGTAGCAGGAACTTCTATTGTTTTTAGGTAAAACAAATGGCAGAATTATCCTTAGAAATACCCACTTGACCATGAAGTAAAAAGTCTGAGCCAGAGTTTGACTGATTTTGTATAAATAAAGCGGACAGCTTTTGTGTGTTGTCCATTATGATCCTGGAACCTAGTGGTCCCTCTCTCTTTGGGCCTCATCCACGCACCCTTCTCGAGTTCCGAACTCAGCTGGAGCTGGACTCTGGCGGTCGGTCAATATTCTTTGCATTTACCCCTTTCCTCTGGAACTGAAACAGCTCTCAGTAAAATGCTAAGAATTAGCCACCTTTTCCCAGTAGGTAAACACTCGCAATAGATAATACCATGATAAACATTGCCCCAAAGCGCTATTCCATGAATTACAGCAGCCAACCTTGCACACTTGATCACTTTGTTTAGAGTTCACTTACTACAATGTTACATGTACACGAGCCAATGCTCACTGTTACAGGTAACAATAGGCTAGTTCGGATCATTTCACTGAGTGCAGGTCTAAGTCAATGTGAAACAAATTCACTGGAGGAGTCATTCAATTGTTCAACAAGATTGTAAATCTTTCAACAGTCTAAGATAGTTGTAGTTCCATTATTATTACCAGTATGTTCCACAAATTTATTTGAGAGTATATTTATAAGTACACATACCTGGTCTGCATACAGATACACATATTTATAAAAGTACACAAGACATCCAGGGCTCATTAGATGCCCATTTAAAAAAGAACTAGCAGGACTTATTTGGCTAATCTGCATGGAAGGGAAACTCAGGTTATTTTTTTGTCATTAGAAACAGTCTAGTGCCATGCAGTAGTAAGTTAAGCCTGCACCTACAGGGCTGGCAACCCACATGGGCCCCAGTTCCAGTTGTGGGTGTTCCACTTCTGGTCCAGCTCCCTGCTAACGTGCTGGGGAGAGCAGCAGAAGACAGCGCAAATCACTGAGCCCTTGCATCCACATGGGAGACCTGGAAGAAGCTCCAGGCTTTAGACCAGCCGAGCTTCAGCTGTTGTAGCCATCTGGAGAGTGAACTAGCAGATGGAAGATGTTCCTCTGTCTCCCTGTCTCTCCTCCTTTCTCTGTAAACCTGCCTTTCAAATAAAACACAATAAATCCTTACAAAAAACAGAGTAACTTTAGAATACCCTTGCTCCCCATTTGCTTCTCTTTATATCCTAAACAGACTGCCAAACAATTCTTAGATTTTTTCAAATAGGAAACTCATCCCAAAGACCTGAATGCATACCCAAATGCTAAGTGTTAAAAAGAAAGGAAAGTGGGCATGGTGGTGCAGTGGACTAGGCTGCCAATTACAACGCCTGCATCCTCTGTTGGGGTGTTTTCTGTTTGTTTGCTTGTTTGTTTTTTTAAGATTTACTTATTTTTATTGGAAAGGCAGATATACAGAGAGGAGAAGACAGAGGAAGATATTCCATTCAATTCCATCCAATGGTTCACTCCCCAAGGGGTCGCAATGGCTGGAGCTGAGCCAATCTGAAGCCAGGAGCCAGGAGCCTCTTCCAGGTCTCCCATGAGGGTGGCAGGGTTGCAAGGCTTTGGGCTGTCCTCAACTGCTTTCCCAGGCCACAAGCAGGGTGCTGGATGGGAAGTGGAGCTCCTGGGATAAGAACTGGCGACGATAAGGGATCCCAAGGTGTGCTATCACTAGGCCATCATGCTGGGTTCCTCTCTTGGAGCATTATTCGAGTCTTCACTACCTGCTTCTGCTCATGCACCTAGAGCTAGCAAAGGGAGCAGGTGAGTCTTTTTGAGCCCTGCCGCTTACGTGGGAGAGCTACACAGACCTCATGGTTCCAGAGCTCAGCCTGAACTAGCCTTGGCTGTTGTGCGCATGTGGAGAGGAAACCAGTGATCTGTCTCTTTCTCTGCCTTTGAAATAAATTTTATAAAAATAATTAAAAAAGAAGAAGAAGAATCAAATTCTATTTGTAGCAAAATGGCCAGAACCAGAGGACATCATGTTAAAGCATATATGCCAGACTCAAGACAAATGTCACCTGGTCTCCCTTGCAGCAGGAAATAGAAGAGAAGTGTCTGTGTTTATGTGTTGCTGTAAATATGCTGTTTGGCAAACTATGCTTTAAATCTCTGTCAAAAATCAGAATTGCATATAACTATAGTTTTTATGGTTTTCATGACTACTTTAAAATTTATTCTGCATGAAGTTAAGCATCTTTTTATTTGATTATTTTAATAACTTTGCCTATTTTCCTGCTCAACCCCAGACTTGTCATTTCCTATTTAGCTTTTTACTTAGTGAGTATAAAGTCTTTGACCATAAAGTCAGTAGTAGGCTAATCCTCTGCCTGCTGAACTTCTCTCTGGATGTAGAGTTCTTAGTGTCTTGAGTCAGGATCTAAATGGTTGTTTTGTGTGGGTGTTCAACATGCCTGATTTCATCATCTTGGGCTCAATGGGCATTGGACCAATATGGGTGCTAGTTCTACTCCCAGCAACCTTGCTTCACATCCAGCTCCCTGCCTGTGGTCTGGGAAAGCAGTAGAGATTGGTCCAAAGCCTTGGGATCCTGCACCTGCCTGGGAGATGTGGAAGAAGCTCCTGGCTCCTGGCTTCAGATCCACTCAACTCCAGCTATTATGGCCACTTAGGAATTGAAGCAGTGGATGGAGGATCTTTCTGTCTCTCCTTCTCTGCAAATCTAACTTTCAATAAAAAACAAATATCTTAAAAAAAACTTGAAAAAGTTATCTCAAAAAAAATATTCTTCCAAATTTCAGAATATTAGTGACACAATAAATAATACTAGTATATATTATTTATATATTAATGTGTAAATAATACATTACATATCACAAATATATTGATAAAATATTAATAAAAATAAATATCTACAGCTCCTTCTAACAGTTCATACAATTAAACTGAGTGGCAGGAAAATAATCAGAACATACCCTCAGTGAATAGATTATAACCCCAGTTTTGTGGAAGGAAAATATATATTCTTAAAAGATAATATGATAAAAATGTTAGTCATTGTTCAAACTGATCCCTTCACATAGAATGTTCCATTAAACATAATTCGGCATGCTTCAGAATATGCGCTTACCGAAGCTTTCTGCACAGCAGAGTGCTTCGCAGGTAAAGCCCCTCACAGACGTGCAAACTGCAGAAGGCCCCAAAGGGAAGCACCCCCGCTCTGCAAAGGTGAGCTCTACCTGCCCCTTGCTCATGCAGCTTTCACACCCTCAGAGGGTAACACCCTGGCATACAGCATTGATATGATGTGGGCAGCTCAAGTCCGACATATATTATTTATCACACGCCCCGTCTTGTTGCAGCTTAATCTATTTTCAGCACAACCCTGTGTCATGTCCAAGACCCAAGTTCTTTGCCAGCTGGACCTCTGAAACATTCTCAAGTTCCATGTCAAAGCCACAGTCCCTAAAAATAACTGACATCCTTTCTGACCTGCTCCTCTTTCCACTGATGTCTGAAAAACCCTGGAGTAAACCTTGCTGCCCAGGCTCTCTTTAAGGCAAATCAATGTCCACAAACCATTAGCTGTTATCTCATACTACAATTCCTACAGGGTTTTATTAACAAAACTATAAACTTTAAAAAAACATCTATCATGCCAACACATTTATCATGGACTTCCGTATTACGGACTCCCGCAAACCAAGGCCCGACGCCGTCACACTGACCTTGGTTCAGGTAGGTGAGCGTCTCGTCATGCAGCTTCACGGCTGGGGACGTGGCGGCACACATTACGTACTGGAAGGGTGGGTTCTTGGTTTCACCATCCAGCGGGAGGCTAGAATCTTCCTGCTTGAAAATGGGCAATGCCAACACATCACTGCAAGGCAAAACATCAACACTGACTTACTTGGGAAATTTAATTTTAAGGCAAACATTCTGAAGTAGTTTCTTGAACATCCAGTATCAGAAATAAGATGCAGAATAAAATTTCATGTCAATCTGGTTGACTGAAAAATACTATCAATTTAGAGTATCTCTTGGTTGGGAGGTTGGATGGCAGCTATGATTAGGTGGATAAATACAGACTGTTTGATAAAGTCCACACTACTGATAAAGAACTATTACAATGCTTAAAAAAAAAAGTGGCCAGTGCTATGGCACAGCATGTAAAGCTACTACCTGAGGTACCAGGATCCCATACAGGCACCAGTTCAAGTCTCAGCTGGTCCACTTCTGAACCACCTGCTAATGTGCTTGAGAAATCAGTGGAAGATGGCTCAAACTCTTGGTCCCCTGTACCCAAGTGAGAGACAAGGAGCTTTTGGCTCCTGGTTTGGGATCAACCCAGCTCCACCCATCACAGCCATTTGGGGAATGAATCAGCAGATGGAAGACTCTTGAAATCATTCATTCATAATCTCTCTTCCTCCTCTTCCTCCTCCTCCCCTCTCTGTGTAATTCTGCCTTTCAAATAAGCAAATAAACTTAGGAAATGGTGGAAACTGTCCCTGCTAAGGTGGGTACAACTGGCACCACGGAATTACAAAGGATGCTTTACAGAAAGTCCCTGCTAGGCAGGACACACGGCGAACATAAAGCTCCCTGCCCAGTCTGAAAGAACGGCTTCTGAGAAGCACACCCCAGGACTGCCCAGTACTGCCCAGTACTGCCCAGTACTGCTGGGGAGGGGAGGCGCGGACCGCCTAGGGCATGGTCTGTCCTTTCTCACACCAGGTGGTTAAACACCCATGGATATACTTGCTGTGGGGTTTTGTTTGTTTTTGTTATTTGATGGTTTTAATGATATCACCTATTTACCACGGCAGTTTTTAATATAGTCACAGTCATGCCATTATCGCCAGTACCTACTTTCAGAATATTTGTCTGAAAAGAAACCCCAACGTGGGGGCACTGGGGGCGCAGAGAAGACTGTTGCCCTAATCAGGGAGTCCCTGGGTTTCAAGGTCAGCCTCTGGCCCCCTCCTCCTGCTTCCTGCCACTGTCACTGGGAAGCAGCAGTGAGAGTGCAACCAACCGGGCTCCTGACAACCCCGCAGGAGGCCTGGGTTGAATTTCCAGCTCCTGGCTGCACCCCAGCCTGACCCTGGCCTACCCTTTGGGCTACCCGGGGCCTTTAGGGAATGAACCAGCAGACAGGCACATACTCTCTGCCTCCCATATAAATAAATATTTTAAAAGAAAGAAAGAAATCCCATACCCATTAGCAGTCACTCAGCATTCCCTCTACCCACCCTCACCCCGGTCCTAGCAACCACTCACCTACTTCTGTCTCAATGGATCCAGCTATTCTGCATTTTGTTTTTGTTTTTAAGAAGCAGAAAGAAAAACAGAGAAAGAGCTTCCATCAGCTGACCTACTATCCAGCTTCTTGCCCAGCCAGGGCCCAAGTCTCTCGTGACCTGAGCCACTGCTGTGGCTCAGAGCTACAGCTGTCACCACGATGCTGGCATCCAACATGGCAACAGTTCACATCCCAGCTGCTCCACTTCAGATCCTGTGCCCTTCTGGGAAAAGTAGTGGAAGATGCTCTAAGTGTTTAGGCCACAGCACACAAACTAGAAGCCCAGAAGAAGGTCCTGGATCAGGTCTGACCAGCGCTGGAAGATCTCTCCCTCTCTATAAACTTTTTCAAAATAAATCTTAAAAACAAACAAAAAAAGGGGGTGGGGGTGGGGAGGTGTGGGCTGACATGGTGACATACCAGCCTAACCCTCCAACTGCCTCCAATTGCAAGCAGTGGCATCCCATACCGATGCCAGATCACATCCCAGCTGCTCCTTTCTATCCAGCTCCTTGCTTGTGGCCTGGGAAGGCAGCGGGCACAGCGGAAGGCCTTGGGCCCTGCAGCTACAGAGGCGGCTGGCAAGAAGGTCCCGCCTCGGTGGCCTATTGGCTAAAGTCCTCACCCTGAATGCGCCAGGATCCCATATGGGCCGAGTTCTAATCCCAGTGGCTCCGCTTCCCATTCAGCTCCCAGTTTGTGGCCTGGGAAAGCAGTCGAGGACAGCCCAAAGTCTTGGGACCCTGCCCCCACGTGGGAGACCTGGAGGAAGTTTCTGGCTCCGGGCTTCGGATTGGCACAGCACGGCTTTTGCAGTCACTTGGGGAGTGAATCATCAGACAGAAGATCTTTCTCTCTGTATATCTGACTTTGTAATAAAAATAAATAAATCTTTAAAAAAGAAGTTCCGGGGCCTGCCGCGCAAGTGGTTAAGGTCCTCGCCTTGCACGCCCGGGATCCCATATGGGCGCCGGTTCTATCCCGGCAGCCCCGCTTCCCATCCAGCTCCCTGCCTGCGGCCTGGGAAAGCAGTCGAGGACGGCCCAAAGCTTTGGGACCCTGCACCCGCGTGGGAGACCCAGAAGAGTCTCCTGGCTTCGGACCGGCATAGTATCAGCCCGTTGCGCTCACTTGGGGAGTGAATCATCGGATGGAAGATCTTCCTCTCTGTCTCTCCTCTCTGTATATCTGCCTTTCCAATGAAAAAATAATAAAAATAAATCTTTAAAAAAAAAAAAAAAGAAGCTCCGGCCTGCCACCTCTGGATCTACTCAGTTTTGGTCATTTCAGCCATTTGGGAAATGAATCAGCAAATTCACCTTTAAAAAAAAAAAAAAGATTTATTTATTTTTATTGGAAAGGCAGATATACAGAGAGGAGGAGAGACAGAGAGGAAGATCTTCTGTCCATTGATTTACTCCCCAAGTGACTGCAATGGCTGGAGCTGAGCCATTCCAAAGCCAGTTGCCAGGAGCCTCTTCCGGGTCTCCCACGCAGGTGCAGGGTCCCAAGGCCTTGGGCTGTCCTTGACTACTGCTTTCCCAGGCCACAAGCAGAGAGCTGGATGGGAAGTGGGGCCGCCGGGACTAGAATCAGCGCCCATACAGGATCCTAGGGTGTGCAAGGCCAAGGACAAGAGCCACTAGGCTACCGCATCAGGCTCAGCTTCAGTCTTTTCTTATCTCTCTGTAAAACCTGCCTTTCAAAAATAAAATAGATCTTTAAAGAATAAAAAAAAAGCAGGTGTCTTCACCAGAATCTTAACCCCCGCTCATACACGAGATCCAATGTATGAGGTCTGTTATCTGCCTTCTTCTGCTCGACGTGGCAGCATGCTGAGTACCTCACTGTGTGGTACAGACACAGCACCGTGCATGTGCCCATCAGCTGCCGGCTCCGGCTGCTCCGCTTGTGGGGGTGGCCATGAGCAATGCTCCAACGATACCCCTGCGCTCTGCAGACACAGCTTAGATTCTCTTTGGTACATGCCCGTGAGTGACTCGCCGGGTCACACAGTAATTCTGTTGCACACTGTGAGGGACTTCCAAACCACCTTCCACAGCAACGCTATTACTTTACACCCGCTTCATTAATATGTGAAATATGAGATAATTCCAATTTGCACACTCGTATCACACCTTTATATTCATGCTTCAACAGCAACAATGAAGCACACCAGTTCCTTTGAGTTCCTCATCTTGCTCCGGCTGACACTGGGTAGTCACTTCAACTCAAAACCAAAACGTGGAAATTCAATGGGAAAACTGGGAGCACCGTACTCTACCTGCTTTTCTACTCCTCACATACATTTTTTTCCCCCAAGACTTATTTATTTACTTGAAAGGTAGACTTACAAAGAGAGAAAGAAATGAAATTTTGGAATGCCAGTTCACTCCTCCAATGGCCACCACCGCAGGCTTGGGCTCAGCTCAAGTGGGCGTCTCCTCCTCAGCTCGCCCACCTGGGGCAAAGGCCCAAGCATGGCAGTCATCATCCACTGCTCCCAATGGATGTTAGCAGGAAGCTGAGTCGGTCTGACACAGCTAGAACTTGAACTGACACCCAGCAGACACCAAGTGGCTTACTCTACTAAGCCACAAAACCAGCCTGCCTAACACAGATTTGAATTATAGCACTGTACTGATTTTTTAAAAAAAGATTTATGTATTTTTATTAAAAAGGCAAATTCATGGGGACAAAGATCTTCTGACTGCTGGTTCACTCCTCAAATGGCCACTATGGCCAGAACTGAGCCGATCCAAAGCCAGGAGCTTCTTCCAGGTCTTCTGCACAGATGCAGGGTCCCAAGGCTTTGGGCCGTCCTCAGCTGCTTTCCCAGGCCACAAGCAGGGAGCTGGATGGGAAATGGAGCAACTGGGACATGAACCGGCACCCAGATGGGATCTTGGTGGTTGCAAGGCAGGATTTAGCCACTGTGCCACCATGCCAGGACCCTGATTTGTTTTGAAGACACTAAAGTACACACCATCCTCTTTTGATAGCTGAGGATACGCAGTTGGAAGTGATCCCCAAACCCTTGCTGGAGTTTCCTCTGTCCCGTGGCTGGGGTTTGCCCCACCTACGACCCTGTGATACATGGAAAGCTTATCATGGGATTTCACATAGTATTTTGCGCATCGAAGCAACTCCTGATAAAAATCACACAAGGCTACAAATAAACCAGAGCTGGTGAATATATATATTATGTTGTTGTCCAAATCTCCTGGACGAAGAAGAGAGAGATAATAGTTATGAACCAGAGGCATCAGTTAATTATACTGAAAAATGACATGAGGAATAACTCAGATTTTAGTAATTTCTTGGGTTAATCACTAATACAGGGTATCAACGTAAGACAAGACTGCATCTAAATGGTATTTATAGGGGCCAGCTTTATGGCCTAGCAGAGTAAAGCCCACAATGTCAGCCAGCACATTGGGTGCCCTCTGGAGTCCTGGGTGCTCCATTTCTGATCCAGCTCTCTGTTACTGGCCCGGGAAAAGTAGGAGAGGGTCCCAGTGCTTGGGCCTCTGCCCCTGTGTGGGAGATCTGCCATCAGGTCCCTGGCTCCTGGC